TCTATCTATCAGAATAGGTACATGACCGTGGAAAAATTTAGTGACGAGTTTCCTACTGAGTTCTTTTTACCTACCGAACAGGAATACAGCTCACTAATCTAATTCGAGAGCAGGCCAATCTGAAAAAAAAAAAAAAAAAAAAAACAGTAAAAGAAAAAAAAGAAGAAAATTCTAGACACTGGTTGGAATTTGGAGTTAAATTCCGTACGCGGATTATTTTTACTTTTATTTTTAATCTCTCTTAAAAAAAAAAAAAAAAAAAATAAACGCATAAATGCCAGCAACTTTACGAGCATCTTCATTGGTTTCTGCAGGTCGAGTCGGTTTGAAAACAACGCAGAAGTCAGACAATCACCAGACGAGAATTGAAAGGAACATCAAAGTCGTTTCCACATCAAGGAAAAGTCTTCGACTGGTGTGCTTCATCTATTCTTTGCTGTTACCACGAACTTTGCTTCAAAAATTGTACGAATTCTTTGAAAACTATTCAGAAAAGTATTTTCACTTTTTCTTCACTTTATGTGGTTTTCTGTTCCGAGGACCTTTTTATACAGCATTATAATTTTTATTCTAAAAAGGCATATTTCACTAGATTAACTATTTGCACAAGTTCATGTTTTGAACGGTCGTGTCTTGTTACGCAAAATCGCCCCAAATTTTGTAAGGACAAGTGGATCAGATGTTGGGAATAGAATATTAAAATTTAATAACAAAATTTAAATAAAAATCGATTATCCATTAACACTTGACTTTTATATAATACAACAGCGCGTACAATACGAGATTTAGACTTGAAACTTTTTAATTTAATTTAATTTTTTTTTACTTTTTATTTTATATAAATTCATTTTTTATATAATACAGCATTATGTACAATACCAGATTTTGAGATGAATATTTTTTATTTTTATTTTATTTTATTTCACTTTATTTTTACTTTTTATTTTTTTATATTTTATTTTATATAAATTCATTTTTTTTATATAATACAGTATTACAATACCAGATTTAGACTTGAAATATTTTTATTTTATTTTATTTTTAATTTTAATTTTTTATTTTATTTAAGTTTATTTTTTATATAATAGAGCATTACGTGAAATACCAGATTTAGACTTGAATTTTTGAAAAAATATAAAATGAATTCATTTGAACAAAGTATTTATAAACAAAAATATCATTTTTTGCTGTCCTCTGCCAGCCACAATGATGGAGAAAGCATTACCTCACACCATCGCCAGTGAGACACGCTGTAAGAGCCACTCTGTTTCACGAGGCTCGTTCCTTAATTGAGATGCAATCATGCTAACCCCCGAAGGAACGCCACAGAACGAGGGTTAATAACCCCAGAAGTCTCCACTGCCACTTGAATAAAAATAAATCTGTCTGCAAGAGAAGAATATTTAACTATTTTTTTTCTATCTCCGTGTCCTGTGCGACAGACCCCGGCTCAACTGCAAACCTGATTATTGAAGTACCTCTTCGAAGCAACATTCCAAAACTGAATACCAACAAAATATAAAACAGGATTACACTTATGGCGACCATTTTTTTTGTTTCGGAAAAAAAATAAAGGAAAAAAGATCATCAACAAATGTAACAACAAAATTAGATGGAAAAAGATTTACAAATAGAAAAAAAGCTGTTTTTCTTAATTAATAACAATGTTTAGGATAAAACGTTATTACATTAACAATACAGACACTATGAAAAACTCCGCTAACAGTAACTGACTCTTAGTAAATGTCATGTGCATTACTTGTCCATAAAGTGAATTTTGCTAAAAATGGCACATATGGAATAAAAGAAAATAATGGCACAACTAATTTTGCATGCTATTTCACCCTCGCAAAAGAAAACCCGTACGAGGTGAACCGGTGCAGTTCCAGGTTCGCCAATGATTGAATTGCATAATTCAGTTCTATGTTTCGACTGGATTGGAAGTTGCTCCAATCGGAAGAAATTTCCATACAGAAGGAATAAACGCAATTTTACTAGCGAATGATTGATTATTATTGATTATTGATGATTGTTATTGATTATTGTGAAGAAAATGTAACGACTTTAGTCCCAATAGAAGGATGTGATTACTCTGACATCGTGTCAAACATAGTTTGGTAGAAAAGAAACAATCACAAGGAAGTTCACCTGTGTAATTTGTGTTGTGCGGAATAGAGTATGAATGATATCCACATCTGCAACATCTTCATATTGTAGCATAGATCATTCATCTCTCTTTCGCTCTCTCTCTTTCTGGCCTCTTTATATTTCAGGACGCTTGGTCGGTCATGTGACACTTAACATCCAATCATTGAAACACTACTCTTGCCGTACAGGTGATCATTTTGGAGTAGTCTTTGCGAAGACAAGATGCTTTCCTGATTCGGCTGAAAAACACAGTTTCTTGTAACATGTCGTGCTGGGCTTGTATGTAAATAAAACATATATGACTAGCTTTAGTTTTCAGGGTGGGAGGGAAGGCATGTAAGCAGTTTCTACATTTCGTTAGCATGTTCCACCTGTAGAAAATAAAACCTTATTTAGGTTATCACGACTTCTCCCTAGCCGACATTTTTATTTAAAATGTTTGGGTACATATCTGTACTTCGACAATAAGTACTACAGAGGTTGCCACTCACATACATATTTGGTAAACTCGATACCGGTATTTGTTGAATAATTAACTGAAGTCTCAGGCAAAATTTGTCAACGTTCATAGTTTTTGTGTTTATTCCCTGTGGCCTTCTCAGGAAGCGGTCAGTGCATTATAAGGATAATCTCTGATGTTTCAATGTTATTATTGTCAGGGTGAGTAAATTTATTTTTCTTTACTTTGGGTGACGTTTGACTGAATCTGGACTTAATCGTTGGGCGTATTTTATTGATTATCGATTGTTGCAATCTGGCATCGATTTCTGAAATATTCCCAGACTGAGCATTAGTCATAAATTGGAAAAGCAGTATCCACACACACACACACACACGCGCGCGCACTAACATATATATATATATATATGAGAGAGAAACAGAGACAGAGAGAAACAGAGACAGACAGACAGACAGACAGACAGACAGACAGAAAGAGAAAGATGGGTGCGCGCACACTAACAAACAAATAAATAAAATATTTTTATAAAGTAAAAGCTAAGAAACAACGATGGATGGCCAGTCATGCAGAGAATCAAACCAAAAGATTTTTAAGCTTTTTGACATTTCATTTTTGTCTGGATGGCCTCAGTGATTCCGAATTAAAATCACATCCGATATAGAAAGGAAAAATTCTGTCCATCAAAATTGAGTAAAACAAACGGAAAATGCCGGCATAAAGAAAACAACTTATAATTGATTATTTTTTCAATTTTTGATTTCATAATTACTTAAAATGATGTGAAATAGCGAAAAGTTAGGCTTACTTAGTCGGCAGTTTTAATTATTGCCAGGAAAGATTTGAAGACATTATTTATATTGCAGAGGTCCCGCCTATCACGAACGTACGAAAGTAAAACATCAATAGAGTTGCTTTATGAAGCATACTTTTGTCTGACGCGAAACCATAATAGGATGGAACTGATTATATTTGTAAACTGATTTGTGTCTGTGCGCGTGTGTGTAGCTTGTTAACCATTGCTCAATGGAAGGCGCCCAATATAATAATTTTTTCTTTTAATCATTTCATCCCAAGTAAGGCGTTAAAGCCACTAAGTTGCAAAGGGTTGAGAGAAAAAGAAACAGGGGGAACAATAAAAGAGAACATGATTGAAGGGGACAGAAGATGACGATTGATGTCGCATTTAAACCGTTGAAGATCGTATATGACAGGAAAGCATGAAGCCGGAAGAGAGTTTCACAACCATCAAAGTGCAGGAGAAGAAACTATTAACATAGAACTTAAGGTTGCAACATGCAATTGCAACCTAGCCAGCAATTTAGTACTGCACTTAAATTCGTGAAGTCGATGGGCCAAAGAGGAAAGCTCATTAGAATAATTACAGCGAAATATTTATAGAAAAGACACAGGGAGGCTACGTCATGCGTCTGGGAAAGTGACTGAAGCCGAGATGTCAGGTCAGGATCGATAACTTTGAAGATTCTTCTTTGGATTTTGTTCAAAATCTCTAGATATATAGCAGAAGCACCAGACCAAATGTGGCAACAATATTCGATTCACGCACGAATAGTACAATTATAAATTTGCAAGATAGATTCTAGCGAAAAATTGTCTATCCGACTTTGTTAACTAACTTTCATAGCACCTGACTTTAATACAATATAAACGTTACTTTATGTTAGTAGAAAATGTGAGATCAAGAAGGCACAACGGGTTAATAACCTGGTGGTTAGCATCAGACATGCCGATGGACGGCATAAAAGGGTCTTTAAGATAATTAACAGAGAGCGATTCTGCTTTGGACCCGTTAAATAAACAAGCAATTTCTTGTCCTTATAAGTCATTATAAATACAATGATGTCAGAACCAAAAAGAGTTCTAGACAAAAGGGGTAAAAGTTCTTTAAAAATTGTATTTTTCCTAAATGCAAATAAAGAAAAATATTAAACATGTTCAACAAAATTAGATCATTAGAACTTTATTAAGGTTGGAAGACAGAAATATCGTGCTACATTATTCTTCTTGTAAACACCAGATTTCGAAATCCTAGATTTTAATTTGGTTCAAACACCAAACTTCTTTAGTGGTAGAAGCCCTCACTTGTCTCATCAAAGAGGCAGACGCTGTGAAACTAATGAAATTATTCCCCCTATTTCATTGTTTACAACATTAAATATTGTTTTCTTTTGTGCAAGTTTTATTACAATATACAGATTACTTGCTCTGTTATTAAACTGTAAAGATGCACCATGGAATTTCCATTGAAGAAAAAATGAATCTTGTGACACTTATGCTGATAAAAAATGGCTGTTTTTGGATTTAGAGAAACTGAGTTCAATTAATTCATTCAGAGCAGAAGCAAAATTAAAATCATTTTGTTGGGGAAATTCGATCATCCCACCAATAATGACCGTTTCTCATTTTGTTGCTCTCTGCCATCGGATTGTAAAACAGATGTGATGATAAGCACCATTGTTGTCCCTTGTGAATAACAAATGGTGAAAAAAGGCACTCCCATTGGTTGTGATTCTTGTGATCTCGAATAACAGACGAGATATGATAAAAAAACAATCAAATAAATAAGAGAAAAAAAAGCGAAGGAGAGAAATGAAATAAAAGGGGAGGGATGAAAAGAAAGCGAAGAAACAAACGAAGATCGAGAGAGAGAGAGAGAGAGAGAGAGAGGGTAAGAGAGAGAAAGAGAAGGTGAACAGAAAGAGAGAGAGAGGGGGAAGAGAAAAAGAGAGAGATAGCAAAATGATAAATGAAAAAGGGAACGAAGGAGACGAGGAGTATAAGCGGCGGAGAAAAATGGAACAAACCAAAGGATGAAAGAAAAAGAGTAATATAAAGAAAGCTATGAGAAAAGTAAAAGAAACTGAGAAGAGGAAGAGAAAGAAAAATGTAAAGAGTGGGTGACAGAGAGAAAGAAAAAGGAAAGGCGAAAGAGAAAAGTGAATGAAAGAGCGAGAAGCGATTGACGAAAGAAAAAAAAATGAAAGATGGAATAGGAAAGAAAGAGGGAAATGGTGAAATAAAAAGAGATAAAGATAAAGAAAAAGAAACGCGAAAGAGAAAAGAAAGTGAAAAGGAAAGAGAACGGCTAGAAAGAAGTCGTGTTTTTCGAGTAAAAAGACTGGGACGGAAAAACCAAATGAAAAAATATGGAAAAATGAAAGAAAAATATATGAAAAACGACTGAAAAAAAAAACACAACATAAAAAAAGCTCAGAAGAAAACGAAAACAAGAAAAAAGAAGTAAAGAAAAGGAAAAATATAAAAAAATAATTGAGGATAGAAGAGAAAGAAGGAAAGAAAGAAGGAAAGAAAGAAGGAAAGAAGGAAAGGAATAAATATATATATATATATAATAAAAAAAATTCCCTGGTAAAAAATCATGAATTTATGCATGTTTTTCTATTTTTCTGTCGTATATTGTTTGCCCGAGAGAAACCAGATGACTGGAAACATGTCATAAACACTGATAGAATCTTTGTCTTAGATTTTTGTCTTTATCAAATCAAAAAAGCTAAGCTTTTTTGATTCGATAAAGATTCATTCGGCCCGGCTTCTCAATATGAGCAAATCTTTTACATTCTTTTAGCCGTCATAGTGAGTGAAAACCCATGAAATTTGAGCCAATGTCGCCAGGCTTGAATCATTTTGACATTTCTTTGATTCCAGCTGCAGACGTCAAGGTCAACCATTGGATCCAATCGGCAGATTTATTGCGTGTGGATATTTGTCATGAAATTGATATTCTACAACCGAATATCTTATAAGAAAGGCATTTTGCGCAAGGTTTATTGACAGCATCTGAGGAGAGGGCTGTTATTTTGGATAAATTCTTTGTTTTGCTTGGCCCTCAATTGATAAATAACTTGTGATTTTTAACATAGTAAATAACAAAGAGGAGAAAGGAAAAGAAAAAAAAAATTACAGGCCCAGTCGGGATTCGAAACTGTGTAATACAACAGCCCAACTCAAAAAAACAGAATGAACTTTTTCATAATTCGTTGAAAAAGCAGATAATTTCAGTAACTGAAAATTCTTTGTCAATGCACTTAATACAATGTTTTTCTATAAATCTATTAACCAAACATAATACAGTGAAAATTTCAAATCTAAATTAAGCTGTGTCCTCAGGCTATGGAGTTATTAATCCACCCTAGTATATGCACATTCCTAAAGCATTTATTTAACATGTGTTCATTTATTTTCAACATATTCTTCGTCTGTATCTGTCTATATTTCTGAGATGAGGTATTATGTACACTATTTACATTGTTCGGAATTAATCTTTGTTGCTATATTTATCACAACGTTTCGGCCGTTGTATGCTTCGGCCTTCTTCAGATGGTTGGAATGTCGAACCGAATCCTTTATTTCGCTCGCTTGTGTAGATTGTTCTAGTTCCACGTACCATGTCTAATAGATGTCAGTTGTCAGTTATCTCCTGTAAATACCCTCTCCAAGTTCTTCACTGCTTAACTGGGTATTGAACTCACACTCTTTGGGTCTTGTTACTGGATTTAACTAACGCCTTTATCCACTGTGCCATGTGTCCTTGTAATAAATATGGCGACTAAGATGAGGACAATAGTCCGAATAATGTAAATAGTATATTCTTCGTCTTTGTAAAAGCATTTGCTTCTCTGGTTAAATTGAATGTTTCAGTTTCAAATTCAGCTCCGGCCTTATTGATTCATCTTTCTATATTTGTAATTTTATATAAAATATGAAAATTCCTTATTCTAAAACTTGTCTGATCCTAAAGAAATCAGGTGGATTCTGTGTTCGAACTATAAATACCTGGGAACTAATCCCTTCATGTTAAAAACTCATAGAATATCACATTATTCATTGTCTATTGTTTATTTTTAAGAACGATAAGATTTTATAATTTTCAAGTAGAAGAAATTCTGCAATTTGTTAATTTTTTCCTTTTTTAGTTTCATCATAAAGATCAACCCGAATACAGAATTTGTTTTGATTTTCGGTTTAAACATTTGTGTCAGATATTCATTGAATTCCTGCCATTTAAAACGACCCTAACCCCAATTGGAAATTAATAAAACAAAGAAAAATCAGTTGGAGATGTTTTCTTCAAAATAACAATAGCATAGAAACAAAATCAAACAAGATTTTCAATATATGTATATTAATTAAACTTGGCTTAGCTAAGTAAAAAGATAAAGACTTTCCAGTATATTACCTTCACATAGTTTTATAAGATACTTTGAACAAACGACAATATTTGAGGGAATTGGGATCGATATTATTTACGGGAAAATTACCTTTTTTATATAGAAAAGACTTCTATTTGTTCATCAAAAGTAGCAACGCCACTCTCTTCTTTATATTGATTAAGAGAAAAATCGATTTTGATGTTCACATGAAGCCAGTTGATGTGATCACTGCCAAACTAGTTTTCATTTTATAATTCTTGTTGGTCATAAAAGTGGCTACATAGAAAGCAAATGATTTCATTTCATTTCACGGAGCCAATCCGAAGGTGTCAGAACTCTATTTTCTTACGGTCTTTCATTTAGTCATGGCATCCATGGCGCCAGCCAGGTTAAACAATTCTTTCTTAAAAACCTTATCTTTGTATCTTTTTTCCCTAGCACCACCCACTTGAAGCTAATGATAGTATACAAAATATCTGGCCGTGATCGGACGAAACGAAAGGAGAATATAGAAGAAAAAGAACAAAAATGATGTTAAGAAAGAAGACTAGGCGCCAAAGATTGGAAAGGTTCACCTCGTTCTTTGCTCCATTAGAGGCGTTTACTTCAGTTCACGTTTATTTTACTGTCTTTGAGTTGGAGGCCGACGATGCAAGAAGAAAAACATGGCCGCCGGCGATAAAAGCGAAAAGGGGAGGTAATTGGTTAGTCAGTGCGCAGGCGCACGCACACGTTTGGAATTAATGATGGAACGCTGAGCTTTTAACCACAGATTAACCCCGGACATTTTCACCGTAGATGCGATGAAAAACGGTGTCATGGGTGCGGAGGAACGAGAAAGGCGGAAGGTGAAGAAAGAGAAGACGTCAGCGCGGTTCGGAAGGTATGGGTTCGTTTAACTGTAATTTTCAGCCTGGAATTGGACGGAAAGAAAAGTTTGTTGGATGATATACGATCGGAGTAATGGGAGGTTGGCAGGCGCTACTTTCAGGTGTAAATTTCTGCCGGTATTGTTAGAAATGTTTGCTGTGAAAATGAACGGGCGCTGCTGTTTATTCGATTCTTTTATACATGAACGGTTTCATTCAGATTTCATTCGACACGAATAGTAGATTTTCTCTTAGTTGCAAATAATCTTTCTTTTTTTTTACTATGATTTCTAATTTTCTTTTCTTTGTTATCTTGATTACCTAAATTTCTTGAACTTGTATATTTCTTTCTTTCCAAAGTATTTTTCTCTCCACTGTTCTTGTTCGCCTATAACTTGAATACATACATACATACATATATATATATATATATATATATATATATATATATATATGTGTGTGTGTGTGTGTGTGTGTTGCAGTTTATTCGCATCTATACATAAAGCTCTGTTCTTGTATGCTTAATGCAATCTCTGTTCATATATATGTTTATATGTTTAAACGTATCATATGGATTCATTATCTATTTCAATATACGAAAAATAAGAAATCCAGACATACAAACGCATATAAAACAATCTCCAACTCTCACGTTCTCTATAAGTTTGGCTATTCTATATTTTGGTTCGTTAACAACTCTTTCAAATTATCTGGCATTGTACACTTGACTCAAATAAACAAAAAGCAAAATTTGGTCCCTGAGTAAAAGAGTAAAGAGGAATCGAAAAGGTTATGTGTTCAATCCCATCGAGGTTGAATAAAAGACATTTTAATTTAAATGTGAAGTGATAAAACTTTCCTATTCCGTGGCCAGTCTAATGTCATTATTAACTTATATAAAAAAGTAATGAAACAAAGAGAGACCATAAATATATAAAATTTAAAACGCGTTTCTGTCTGAATTTCTAGGATGAAGACTTATCATTATTTACATTATTTATATCCAGATTGTTATCCTCATCTTTGTTGTTGTTATCACAACGTTTCGACCGTTGTGCCCCCTGCCATCTTCAGGTGTATATCGACCTACAAGGAATTCTCAATTGAGACTTTTATTTAATCTACGGTGGTAGACTCTTCTCGTTCCTACGAGACAATGGATTAAATGGCCTAGTGGTTTAAAGCGTTTGTTCGTGAATTTGGTGACATAGTGACTGTGAGTTCAATCCCGGTGTCGGGCACTGTGTACTTGGGACTCTGTGGATAAATAAGCAGTACTAAAAAAAAATAAGAACTAGACGAGATATCCGTAGACATGAGCAGTGGAACGAGAACAGTCTACCTCCGTAGAATAAAGAAAGATTTAGGTCGATATACACCTGATGAAGACCACGGGCCATATCGACCGAAACGTTGTGATAACAACAAGAAAGGTGAGGACAATAGTCCGGATATAGATAATGTAAATAAATTAAGAAAGGTTTGAGGCAAACCCAGGATGAATTGTTTTGTATGAGTAAAACTCTTATTTCTTTGTAGTGTCGGGATCGATTAGCTTCTCTTTCTTTTATGTGTTCTGTCCCTTCAGGACGTGGGCGATCATGACTCTCCATAAGTTCCTATCCTTCATAGTTCTAAGTAATGTTTGGACTTTTGTTATTTCTCCCAGTTCTTTCTGGCATCCATTTACATGATCTCGTTATGTAGATTACTAGCCGCTTCTTTCTACATTCAGATTTCTACCCGCGTAACGTTATATTAGAAGCGTTTGTTAAGAATACGAGGCCACATTTTTTATCTATTTAAATTATTGTCTATAAATTAACGTCGGCCGTGGACGGTATACGATTTTCCGGAGGAAGTTCGATCTTCTTACGAGTAAGTGACGGAATCTATTTCTCTTCTCGCGAGACGCGTATGTTTATATAACTTATTGTCATCCGATTGTCTTTCGTGTTCAGATGGATTAACTTCTTGTTTTATATCAGCGCAGCCACTGATATCCTTTGAGGCGAGATTTACACTTGGTAGCTATGAGGGTACCTTGTAGGTTATTCCCTCCGATGCACCTTAGCTCTTTTGATGTTTCGCTGTCACACTAAAGTACAATGCTTACTTTGGTACCACAGTTCAACTCTTTTTAGATATAAGGTTCCTGATTCACCTTAAATTTTATTCAAACCTCTGACACTTCCTGGCGTAGATCATATATTACATGTCCTGGGAGTGTCAAATTCTCCAAACCCTCTTTCTTTATTATGCGTTCCAGAAATTTAAGCTGTCTGCTCCTAGTTTTCTGTAATTATTTACTATGCGTATCTGTTTTTTTCTGTGTTATTTATTATGGATGTCT